GGAGATAGATGCCGAATCAGCTGGACTTGTGAGGCTGAGCTTTGTTTGGACTCTACCCATTGGCTTCCCAGATATCATTGAATCTGTGTTTAAGATGCCATGCTGACTAGCTCACTTGGTCATGGCGTACGCAAACGATCACATCCCGTCAAGTTTCGGTTTCGTTGTGATGGATTCCTCTCACCGACAGCCTCGGGATCGGTTTTCGAATCTTCGGTACCATAGCCTTCCCATTGGCGTGGTATTTCGCTCATTGCTGTCCAGCATTGCCAACAAGCAACTGATGATATACCGGCTTTGGTCTATCACAGAATATTGATCATTTCTACCATATTTCAGATAATTTCAGCCCTTCAAGCATCGACTGGCGTAGAACGTTCACATTGGTCGCCTTCTGAAATTTACGGTGAAACAAACAGAAAAATTGTTCCTCTCGTTTTTTGAACCTAACTATCTGACCTCCCTTTACATTGCTTTGTATCCCACCACCGCATTTTCTGTAATTCTTGTGTTGCGTCGGCACCAAGCTTGTTTGCAAGCCGGTGATAAATATATCTCATTTACCTAGACGAAACATTCCGGACCCAACTCGTCATCCTCCTCAACAAATAACGATTAGGCAAACCTCTTCACTAGATTTACTAATCAATTATGAAAGACGCCAAGCGGACATTGTAACGTTTTACGAATCAAACAAACGAGAGCAGAATGAAGAAGACTGGGAGTCGGAATTATACGCTTTACTCAACTAATAAATCCAGTATATGAGCTGTAATAGTAATACATAGTAGTAGTAATAGTATTAGTATTACATAATAGAAAAGGGTGTATAAACAAACCAGAATATGACAGACGGTTAACCAACTGCCTATTCTGAGAAAAAACTGTCACCTTAGATATTGAATCGAAACTTATACAGTGATGGTACTCCGTATGTTCGATCTTTTTTAGTAAATGAGCTTCTATATCATAAAGGAATTCATACAGACGCTCAGAATTCAAAGTTTTAGGTACCAAACCCGAACTCTTCCGTCTCATTCGACGGTTTATAGATATGCAGGCTGAGTTATTTGCGAGATACCAAAAGAACTTACGTCGGCTAAAAATCAGGAAGCATCATAGGAATAGCCTTAGAGCAATTCTGACCAACGTGCTAAACATTAAACTTTTCTCATTCGAATACATGCGTCACTTGTTCTTTGTCCTTGTTCTCTCCTATAGCTCTCATCAACAGAGAGGAATCGAATCCTCGTATTCCTCTGAAGTTGCGGAAACCTTCCGATCCCACTTCCAGGTATCCTTCAACTCACTTCTAGTGACCAAACCTCCCACACTACAACCGATATAAATCCGTTCACTTCGAAGACGTCATATTCTCGCCAGAGAAAGTTAAACGAACACCCCGAAGCATCAACATGTACTGCACCGTGGGACCTAATCATATACATCTTCCTCCAACGTTGCATAGTTGAAAGCATTTTTCCCACCACGTGGGAAGTTGTTATCTCGTTTATAAAAGGACCGATGGTTCCCTGTAAGCTGTCGTTCTGGTTCCCTTAGCAGCATCCCCAGAGAAATTTTCGAATGTATCAACGGAAAAAACCATGAACCATCTTCAGCTCTAAAATATCCTGTCCACCACGGGCTTCTACCTGCCAGATCATGCATCACCATTATGCT